ATTCAAATAAAATATTAACATTTGACAGTGTAATTATATAATATTATTAGATTTCATCTTAACAAAAAGATATTGGTAAACCGAGCTAAAAAACTGAAGTATCACTGATAAATTGGTTGACGACTTATAAGTGAATTTCGAGCTTATAGTTGATATTCATGAGCTATAGTTAATAGCTGGAAAATTAGCTAATAAGCCAGTTAAAATAGAAAATTTCAATTGGTCATTTATTTTTTATTTTTTTTAAAAAGCTACATAATGAAGCTTATTTTTTTTTTGGTACAGGGACCTTCCGGTTTCCGGATCCACAGGGGAACCGACTAATCCGGAATCGAGCCGGGTAGGACCACAAGGGCGGCAAAGCTCTCCCTCAAGAGTTTTAACACTGCTGCATTCCCAGGGCTCGAACTCGAGACCACTGGTTAAGCTGGAAGAGACCCAAACCATCTCATCCAAGCGCTCTTGGGTCATAAAGTTCGTCATCTCAAACCAAATTTATTTAAATATAAAGATTTTATAATCGGTGCATACCAAACACACTATATATCAAAAACTTATATAAAATTAAATCAAATAAATTGTAAAAAAAAAATTAACCTCCAAATAAATCATCCAATTATTGACTCCTGAGCCACTTCCTTCTAAGAGATAGTAACCTGGTGGGCCCCCATTCAAGCAAACTGTAATAAAATTAAAATACCAGAAAACCCCATAAATTAAATACTTGGAATTTATATATACAAAAAAAAAAATAAATAAATAAATATTATTATGCTTATATATATATATATTTAAAAATAAATAAATAAAAATAATCAGACCTGCCCCTTTTGACACAGCACTGTCAAGATATGTAAGGGTGGCAAACTCTGACCGCACTCTTGGAGCGTTTATCAACACAACAATAAACAAACAGATTGAGAGCTGCCTTGAAAATTCATCAGCCATTGACCTGAAAAATATATTTTAATTTATTTTATTATTATTTCAAAATAAAAAGAAATTTATTAATTTAAAAATAATTAGGTAATTAAAAAATGAATAATATTAATATTAAGAATAATAATAATAATAAGAACAAGTGAAAAAACAATTTATTAATTATATATAATAACTTGCCTAACAAAACAAAGAGGTAATTCCTCTTTTAATGTATTTATTTATGATGATTTCTTGTTTTTTGTGTGTTTTTTACAAACTGATTTGCATTCTTATATATATAGTGCAAAACTGCAAATTCACTTGTTTAAAAAGACCCTAACAACCGTACAATTTCCCTACAAAAAAGTTGTGATTCTCCAAAATTATATATATAACTTAAAATAGGTTAATCATGATAAACCATTGAAATTGAATTAATAAAGGAATGTCAATCATAATGTGTAATAATTTATTTTTGGTTGATATGCATGTATACAAAGTTTAAAACTGTTAAAATATTGGTTTGACATTGTCCGACAAACCTGAGTATTAATTTCTACACTGGTTAAGTTGGAAGAGACTCAAGTCATCTCATCCAAGCGCTCTTGGTTAATTTCTACAAGATTTCTTTTTTAGGCAAACAAAATAAATTAAAGGAAAGTTTTCAATTTATTTACTTATAAATTAATTAAGTTCCTATTATTTACTATTAATAATATATAGTGTATATATGTTATAGTATGTATTATAGAATCTTAATCATTTAAGAGAATGATTAACATAATATATATATCAGTAATGCTAAGGAGTCAACAGTTGACTCTGTTATGGAGCCAACAACCAATTGGACAACTCCATGTGGGGCTGTCCCACATTAAAGTATTGTGGGACAACCCCACCTGGAGTTGTCCCATTGGTTGTTGGCTCCGTAACGGAGCCAACTATTGGCTCTTTAGTATTATTGATATATATATATATATATATATATATATATATATATATCTTCACTTATATATATGTTGGTTGCATTAATGAGTTTGATTTATACCATAATTAGTTTTCTCGGTCTTATAGGACAAGAAATATGTGACATAGACAATAAAATGAGGAGCTACCCATACATGAATGATCTTGAACGTTTTGGAGAAAGTCTAAGGGAGATTTAGAAAGATTCACTGCAAGATCTATTAGGTTGGGAAGATCGGTTAATTTAGGAAAGTCATTCCTGCACGACTTTTGAAACGCGATTTTGAAAGGTTCTACTTGAAGACGTCAATCCAATGTGTCCTTAACTATTTAAAATTTGTCTTTTGTCTTTATTAGATCACCAAATCTATAGAAAAGAATTGAGTTTTATTATTATCTAATGTGCATATTGAGTTAGTCTATTACCTGAGGGTTCGTGAGTTTGTTGATTATATTTTATATTTTTTGAATTCAGGATTTCAGTTTTGTATTATTGCGTCTCTAAAACACTGAAGCATAAGATCTTGTTACTTTTGGGTATTGTCTGCTTGAAGGGGTTCCATGTAAACATCATCAAGGATCTTGAATAAATAATTTGGTGTATACGAAATACTTACTTGATGCGGAAGACGACATAATCAGTGATCTTGATCTTGATGATCACAAGAGGCTTGATCGATTGTGAGATCTAAAATTAGTTTCTCCCTCCTGTCCAATCTTAACGTAGCAGAAAAGTGATGGGATTATGACTGCGTACCTTAATAGGAGGAGAGAGGACTAATTTATATAGGGGTGTCATTAAATCTGGTACGTCCATCAAATATCCAGATTAATGGCTTAGATTTGTTTGACTATTAAATAAGGTCTGACCCAATAGGATAATTAAATGTGAGCCCAATGCTTTCGGGCCACATATTCTTACATTCTCCCACTTGGTCTGAAAGCCCATAATATAATAGTATAACATTAGGTGCACATAAACAAATCCCATTACGCCATGCATCATAATAAACTATGACATGATAAACCATATAGTGAGAGTTATGGCGGTTGTACACTCTCGATTCGCATACTTCCTTCCATATACTACTACACTAATAGTTCAACACATCAAGTTCCATAATTATATATAAATATCATAATGTCCACTTAATTGTCATAAAGACATTCATTTCTTGTTCTAAACATAATGTATACAAAATCATAATGAACAAGAAATTCGATAATAGTCAGAAACATAACATCAATGAGCTCAAGAGTGTGCCATAACATCATCATAATCAATCATCAATACAACCAAGACCCATTCTATGTACATGTTCGTTAAATGTCTTTGGTTGTAGACCTTTAGTTAACGGATCAGCAATCAAAAGGTCCGTTCTTATATGTTCGATGCACACTCTTTGTTTCTGAACTTCCTCCTTGACGGCAAAATACTTTAATTCCATGTGTTTTGCACCCTTGGAATATTTGTCGTTTTTGGAGAAGAAAACTGCTGCAGAATTATCACAATACAATTTCAGCGGCTTGGTAATGGTGTCGACAACCCCAAGTCCCGAAATAAAATTCCGCAGCCATAATGCATGAATTGTAGCCTCAAAACAAGCCACAAATTCAGCCTCCATGGTAGATGCAGCTATGACAGACTGCTTGGCACTTTTCCATGAAATTGCTTCTTCGGCGAGGAGAAAAACATAGCCAAACGTTGACTTGCGACTGTCAAGGCACCCAGCAAAATCTGAATCTAAATATCCAATCACCTCAAGGCGATCAAATTTCCTAAATGTGAGCATATGATCCTTCGTCCCTTGAAGGTATCTCATCACTTTCTTTGCAGCTTTCCAGTGATCCAATCCAGGATTACTTTGATATCGGCCAAGCATTCCAACAGCGAAGCTAATATCAGGCCTCGTGCAAGTTTGCAAGTACATCAGACTGCCCACAACAGAAGCATATGGAATTGATTCCATACTCTTTCGTTCCACATCATTCTTAGGGCATTGCATAAGACTAAACTTGTCCCCTTTCTGTAATGGGACAACACTTGATGAACAAGTGTTCATACTAAATCTTTCAAGAATTTTCTCGATATATGCTTTCTGAGACAACCCCAACAGTCCTTATGATCTATCCCGGAATATTGAAATTCTAATCACATAGGATGCCTCTCCCATATCTTTCATTTCAAAATTCTTTGAGAGAAAATCTTTAGTCTCATGCAAAATTCCCAAATCATTAGCAGCAAGTAGGATATCATCAACATATAGAACCAAAAATATAAACTTACTCCCACTGATCTTCTGGTAAATACACCGATCAACAGTGTTTTCTTGAAAACCAAAAGACGTGATGGTATCATTAAACTTAATATACCATTGTCTGGAAGCTTGTTTAAGTCCATATATTGACTTCTTAAGTTTACACACCATGTGACCTTTTCCTTCTATGGAAAAACCTTCGGGTTGATCCATATAAACTTCCTCATCTAAGTCCCCATGAAGAAAGGCCGTTTTCACATCCATTTGATGTAACTCTAAATCATACTGAGCTACTAAAGCCATAATGATCCTCAAGGAATCTTTCTTAGAAACAGGTGAAAAAGTCTCCTTATAATCAATGCCATCTTTCTGAGTATAACCCTTGGCAACAAGTCTAGCTTTATGTCGTTCGATATTGCCACTCGAGTGGCGTTTGGTCATAAAGACCCACTTACACCCAACTCGTTTTGAACTTTCTGGCAATTCTACTAGATCCCAAACATTGTTTTCAGCCATAGAGTTTAACTCTTCTTTCATAGCATCAATCCATTTACGAGACAAGTCACTGTTAATGGCTTGTGAAAACGAAACAGGATCTTCATCAATGCTAGTATCATAATCCAACTCTTGCAAATAAACCACATAATCATCCGAAATAGCAGATCTTCTCACCCTTGTAGGTTTGCTTAATGCTATTCCACGTGGTTCATTTATATTAGTTGGTGGCAAGTTAGTCTCTTCATGGGGTGCTACTTCATCCAAATATTGTCCACCATTATTTTGTGGTTGTGGAACAATATTTGGTACAACATTGGATATTGGAACATTAATGGGTAATGGAACATTAACCCTTATTTCATTAATTTCCACAGTCTCTTTAGCACTCCCACTAACTTCACCATTTTCAATAAATCTAGCATTGCCCGTTTCAACGATTGTAGAACTGTGATTAGGACAGTAAAACATATACCCTTTGGACTTCTCTGGGTAACCAATAAAGTAACCACTCACAGTTCGAGAATCCAATTTCTTTTCATGTGGGTTGTATACTCGTGCTTCTGCTGGACAACCCCAAACATGCAGGTGTCTCAAACTAGGTTTCCTTATAGTCCATAACTCAAAAGGAGTTTTAGGAACTGCCTTACTAGGAATCCTATTTAGCAGATACACGGCAGTCTTAAGTGCATACATCCACAAAAATTTGGGTAATGATGTATTACTTATCATACTCCTAACCATATCAATTAATGTTCTATTTCGCCTTTCCGCTACACCGTTTTGTTGAGGTGTGTCTGGCATAGTATACTGTGCACATATGCCATGTCTTTCAAGGAACTTAGCAAATGGACCGAGATTTTGTCCCGATTCATCATACCTTCCATAGTATTCACCACCTCTATCAGACCTTACTATTTTCACCTTTCTGTCTAACTGCCTTTCAACTTCATTAATGAAAACCTCAAGTGCATTTGCAGCTTGAGATTTTTCCTTGAGCAGATAAACATAACCATAACGTGAAAAATCGTCTATAAAGGTAATGAAATACTTTTCTCCATTAAAAGATGGAGCATCAAAAGGTCCACATATATCGGTGTGTATAATTTCAAGAAGCTGACTACTTCTTGTGGCTCCTTTCTTGTTATGTTTGGTTTGCTTTCCCTTAATGCAATCCACACACAACCCAAGATCGGTAAAATCTAGATCCAAAAGAATCTCATCTTTCACCAACCTTTGCATTCTTTCTTTGGATACATTACCCAAACGTTTATGCCACAAGAAAGCAGAGTTCTCATTTGCTACACC